TGACTAGAGCCAGTGTAGCAACTTTGCAGCAAATGAACTTTTCCCACTGTTGCCTGAAGGTCCTCAGCACACTTAGAGACTATTAATGAGAAGATGGGTGGCCCTGTGTACTTGGAGAGTCAGAAAAGCATTCCCATGTTTCCCTTGACTTGGTTCTAAGGCTCCAGTTGAGGTAAAATTCATTCAGCCTTCTGAGCCAATGTTCCTCGGGGTAGGGGCTTAGCCTCTACAGTCTCTGCTAAGGTACCACTGCATACCCAGCCCGCCGCTCACCTTGCGCTGTCATGTAACTGCTTCAGTCTACGTACAAGTCCCAGTTTGCAACTGTGCAAGGCTGGTCATGCAAGTCCGGTCTGCTAGAATACACATTATCTATAACTTCTGAAATGTCACAGGGAAAAGTAAAAACTTGCCCACCACCATGGTACTATTAAGGCCTAAGTAGAGAACCCAAGAAGAGTCACAGACCTAAAACCTCCGTGCTAAAAATTAATATCAGCACCTACAGAAACAAGCTGTTATTGAGACCCCAAATTAAAATATATTGGAGTCTCAAAAGGGGGGAATGAGAGAGGATACCCAAGAAGGGTGAGATCTAGGAGAACAGGTCTTCTCAAGGAGACCACAAGGATATACCTGCAGGGTCCTCTCCCTGGTGACTCAGCTCTTGGGAATTTATAAACTTAACTTAACTTCCTGGAACTTGGAAATTTCCAAGTTCTGTGAAATCCTGTAGTTCTATAGGGGCTGGAATAGCATCTCCTGGTTGATTCAAACTGGCCAATGAGAAGGGCAGCTTTGAGGTGGAATTTTTTGACTGTTGATAAAGGAAAGACCAAGCCAGTCAGAGAGTGCAGCCATTTGGAATTCTTCTAAGCTGTAAGCTCCCGGCTGGTGAATAAAGCCCTTCAGAGCCCAAAAGGCTCTGAAGAAGAAGAAGAAGAAGATGGGTGTCTTGGCACAGTGGCTCACGCCTGTATTCCAAGCACTCTGGGAGGCCAAACCTGGGAGGATCCCTTAAGCTCAGGAATTCGAGACTAGTTTGAACAAGAGTGAGACCTTATCTCTACTAAAATTAAAAAATTAGCCGGGCATTAGGTGGGCACCTGAAGTCCCATCTATTTGGGAGGGTGAAGCAGGAGGATCTCATGAATACAGGAGCTTGAGATTGCTGTGAGCTAGGCTGAGCCCATGGCACTCTACCCAGGGCAACAGAGTGAGACTCTGTCTAAAAAAAAGTGGGGGGGGGGGGCAGAGATGTATTTTTAACTACAGTATCTGAGCTGGCTTCTCAGTGTGAGTCAACTTGAGTAAATGACAAATCGCCCCAAACGGACCCTTTCCAGAAATGTCTGTGAGAGCAGCACAAAGGACAACTTTCTGTTGCTTAACTCTCCCCAAAGCCCCCGCTCCCCTGTATGTTGACATCAAATGCTGGGAGTTTGCCAGCCTCCCGGATGCCACCTCCAGAACAGCAGGGAGAGTGCCTTCTCTGGTGGGGACACATATGGTGTCCCCTTGTCAAAGAGAGCAGACGCTGTTCCTAGAGCTGCGTGCACTTTAGCCTCCATGCACCGAGTAGCAGTGATGGAAAACAGTACCGATTCCCTGTGTCTGAGGGTCGCCCGCCCTCTGCCCAGGTGCCTGCCTCTTGCTAAGCTCTTGTCTTGGATGGAAGAGAAAATACCACTGAGCACCCACAGTAGGGGCTTGAACAAGAAGAAATCAGTAGGTGAAAGGTGTAACGCCCCCCCACCTGCACCTGTTCAAACCCCCAGAGTGCCAAGCACTCCCAGAGATGACTTTTTCTCTTCTTTGTTTGGTTGCGGTCCGGCTCCAGGTCTCATCAGCCCCATGTCCCAGGGCAAGTTCCTCTCTCTCTCTGCCCCTTGAGTACAGTAGAGGTGCTAATTCTGTGGGAAGGCTGCTGGCAGAGTTCCGCATACAGCACCTGGCTGACAAAAAGTGCTCTAAGGACAGACCTAGATGTGAGAGAAGGGTGCCTGGGGGGGATTCACCTCCTAGAATCCCACAGCATGGAGGGAACTGGTTCTGTAACTCAGGTGACATTTGGAAACCCTCTGATGAGCTAGGGCGGGAAATTTGAAGTTTTACAAATTTCGAATATCTTTAGCAACCCAGGAGAAGAGGCGTCTGCAGCAACTCTGCTCCCGTTAGCTGTGTCCTAGGTCCCAGGCTGTCCCCGCTCCCTTCGCTGTTGCCAGGTAGCAGCCTGCTGTCTGCCTCCTACTGAGACGTCCACACCCTGGAGCAGCACCGGAAGCCAGGCTGTGCCTGACTAAGTGATGAACTGGCTGTTGTCTCTACACAACTCCCAGAGGATGGTTTTGCTTTCCATGCCTCGCCCACACCCAGCCCTGCCTCTCCACTTTCCATCCCTTCTCACGTGTGCAGCCCTCACACCTCTCCTTCTCTAGAGCCACAGGAAGCCCCCCGGGGGGGGGAAGGCAGCAGCAAATCATGGTAACATGGGCAGGCTCAGGGGTCCAACTTCAAGGTTCTGTCATTGACCTGCTGCATGAACTTGGGCAGGTTGCTGAACCCCTCTGTACCTTCTCCTTTTCTGCAAAAGGGAATAATAGTAGTGCTTGCCTTATGAGGCTGTTAAAGAGTCAATCAAGCCAAATGTGAAGCACTTAGAGTGTGCCTGGCACACAGTAAGTCTTCCTGGAGATTAGCCAGTATCACAGTCCTACAGTGGTAAATGTCACCAACCTGCAGGTGGTCAAGCTGCCGAGACTTGAGGCAAGAAAATTCAGTTTGCCGTGGATTTGGCATGGATTCCCATGGCAACTCTCAATAGCAAAATTGCTCAAAGGACTCATAAAGTCAGTGGTTCTTTTGCCTAAGAAATCCTTATGGAATGAATAAATATATGAAAATGATCATCATAATGATTGTTTCCATGTGTTGCATGCTATATTCCAGGTACTTTCTCAAAACTGATTTAACATTCACAACAGTCCTATGAATTGTTATTGTTGTTATTCTCATCCTACTTTATGAATGTGGTATTGGAGGATCAGAGGTGTTAGGTCGTCTGCCTAGGGTCACACAGCACATGAATAGTGGCAGTAGGATTGAAATCTCAGGTAGAGCTCCCAAAGGGGCCCATTGCATGCTGCACCTCCTTTTCGCACATTTCTCTATGGTTGCTCTTAGGAGCTAACTGAAATGCAGTCCTTTCCTGGATGGGAAAATTTCAGATTAGAAATGAATGATCCACAGTGAGACCAGAGACACTTGGTGAAAGAACCACAAATATGGCAAGAAGTGTGTCTAGGTGATCGAGTCTTCAGGACGGGGTTGGGGGGTGTCGTGCAGAGGCCCCATAGTGGGGGAGCTCTACATCAGGTCGCCTGTCCAACATCTTGGATGTCTGCTGTCTGGAGTCGGTGACAATTCAGAAATTCCCCTGCCCACTGTCACCTGTCCGAGTTGAGAACTGTGGCCCCATTCTCTATGCTACCCTTTGGTCAGATTAATAATTCTACAAGGCAACCTGAATCCTATCTATCTTCTGACAAAAAGTCTTTAATTATTCTTCCCTACCACAAGAATACATCTTACTATGTGGCACAGTCTCAGGGCCTTCTCTGAGCTCAACCAGGTTACCCCCTCTTCTTATCCTGAAGGATTGTCACAGTGTGGATATTGTGATGGTGAGGGGTGCAGAGAGGAGGAAGGAGGGACCAGAAGCCTTCTCTGGAAGCTGGCGAGGACAGCAGCCTGGACTCGGAAGGGCCTCGTGTGCTGTGCTCAGGAGCTCAGGCTTCAGAGTATTAATAGATCATTGTTCCTGAGCGTGATCCTTGAATCACACGAAAGCTATCATGTGTATCTACTTCTTATGTAAGAAAAATAAAACAAACAAAAAGTAAAAGGCTCTGGATTCTGATAATCTTGGGTGTGGCTTGGTTAAACAAAGTTGAGGCGTTTCTTTGCTGCAGAACTTCTCAGAGCCTTTGATACACTAATGCACATGATGAGCCTCCAATCTTATCTGACCTCTTTCACCTTTAAATCCAGTAGCATTTGGTGGGGGGTGGGGGGGCTGGATTCGTGTCCTGAGAGACACAGTCTAAGAAATGGTGCTGTTATCCATGGAAACATGGAGGGTGATGTGGGGCTGGTGTTCAAACCTATCTCAAAACAGGGCTTTTTCCTTTCATGTTACACTTGATTAGAAAGAGGAGGCCCTTTGACAAAAACCAGGAATAAATTAAGCTAAGAACATTTAGAATTTAAACATCAGGAACAGATGAGAAGCTGGGGACCTCTCTGAGCCTTCAGAAGGGCCAGATTCTGGCATGGTGCCTGTAGTTCAGTGGTTAGGGCGCCTGCCACATACACCGAGGCAGGTGGGTTTGAACCGGGCCCAGGCCTGCTAAACAATGACAACCACAACAAAAAAAGCCAGGTGTTGTGGGCACCTGTAGTCCCAGCTACTTGGGAGACTGAGGCAAGAGAATTTCTTAAGCCCAAGAGTTCTGGGTGGCTGTGAGCTGTGACGCCATAGCACTCTACAGAGGGCAACATAATGAGACTGTCTCAAACAACAACAACAATAAACAAAACAAAAAGAACAGACCAGATTCTTTCCTTGGCATTGGGATTTAGAAGTTAAAAACAAAGTACTTTGATGGGTCAGATGTGTCAGTGCTAACTGGACATGAGCAAGGCTTCTGGGGGGTGAAATGGCTGATGACGACAGCAGTTGGGAGAACAGGTTAAGGAAGTGAAGGCAGGTGCTGAGGGGGAATCTCTGGTCACAGAGGGACCTACCCCTCCGGGCTCAGGGGCTGCCTAGCTGCTGCGATGGCCCAATGGAAATTCACAAACTTGGGGAGGAAACAGCCTGTCCTCTTTCCTGGGGAGAGGAAAGGATCACCAAAGGCCAGAGACGATCCTGCTGAGGGATTTACCTCCCGTCATTACACAACTTCCAAACAAACAGGTAGTGACCTCGGGTGCTCAAGTCAAATGACAGCAGTACATAGGACAGTTTGTGACATATTTGACATCAAAACATGGGCTAGGTAAACTTTCAAGCCCCTGGCAGGTTTTCCTCTGCGGTACAGCAGGACCGCAATGGGAGACGGAGCTGAGCCCAGCGCGACGTGGCCAGCGCGTTCCGTTAGCCGACAGGATGGTCAGGTAGGTCGGACACCTTGAGTGAGGTGCGGGTGGGCTTAAGGGGAGATGAGAAGGAGGGAATCACTTTGCATTCCTGGAGAAAGAGGAAGAATGAAAAGGTGGGGAAAGAGGCTGTCAGAAAACACGCCTGAGAGCGGGTTTTGGTAGTTGGCAAAGACGCGTGCTTTTCCCAGGGTCTGAAGTTATATGGCCTCCCTCCTGTGAGTCAGATCTTCCTTAGACACATAAGAAGCTCAGAAGAAGAAGGACTAGTTGAGACGTGTAATCTGATCATCAGGAAAAACCACTGGCTTCAGAAATGTCTCTGGATGGTTGAATAAAGCGCACAGGTCTCTGTACCGCCATGCCTGGCTGTGAGTCGGGCATGTGGTACACTTCTCAGCGAATATTCTTGGGTGAACTAATGAATGAATCCGTGATATGCATGTAGTCACATCTTTCTGCCTTTTCCCCCATTCAATTGCTTAAATAACATTTAACAAGATAGCGAGTAGTGAGTTAGAAAAACTGTATCTTTTACCAAAGTCCTGACCCGTGATTGCATCTTTAAGAACTGAACCTCCTGCAAGTGTGTGACACCATCCTGAAGGAGCGTGTCCCCGGCACTGAGCCACGTGCTCTTCCTAGAGGTTATAACATGACAATGTACATATATATATATAGCCCAGAAAAAAATCCTTGAATCCCAGCTCTGCTATTTGCCTGTCGTGTGATAACTGTATTTCTGCTGGCAAGTGCAGGCTGAAGTGGCTTTATGAAGATTTTATTGTCAACCAGTTTACATTCTTGCAATGGTTCTTGGGTGCAAAGATTCCGAAGTGCCGCATTGCTTCCTGTATTTGATGGGAAAACCAGCAGGCCTGGCTTTGATGGTGAGAAATTTTCTAATATTACTAAATCCATGAAGCATTTGGTCCAATGCTGTACCCTGGCACACTGTTAAGTATTTCTCTTCCCAGTTGCAACACAGAGTGTGGGTGTTACAAAGACCACCACATCCGCTTGCTATTTATTCCTTCAGATTACTCTGTTTCCTCCGTAATTAGAAAGAAAATGTCTGGTACTTATTCAGTCTTTCAACACACATCTATCTACTCACTGCGTTCTGGATACTATTTGGGGGTTACCAGACTAAATATTGCTTCAATATTTACTACTCCAGCCTTTCGCATGTTAGTTTCTGTTTTCAGAAGCCCAAGAAGATGATACAATGTAATAAATCAAATGCAAGAGAAACTGCTGATAGCAATAACTTAGGATACCGGCAAGAATAGACCCAGCCTGGAAGAGCTGGATTTTTAGTGAGGCCTTTCTGCATTTGGCCAGCACTGTGGATGATACTAAATTGTGAAAAACCCTAATCCTTTCCCCTTTTTACAATCATATAAATTACTTGCTCTGTTCACATTTTTACCTTTTCTTCTCACTGTTTACAACCGAGTCTTCAAAGTTCATTTGTTTACAGTTGCAGTTTTTCAAAAGGTTATGAATAGTATGATTAGGAAAGTTCTCTATCCTCTGCAGAATTGTAAATAAGGGGAAAAATCACCTACAATTCCTTCAGTTAGAGATAGCTGTTAAGACGTATCCCCTTCCGGTTATAACATATGACAATGCACATCTGTGATCATGTCATGTGCCTTGTATCTGTTTTTTAGGCTGTCTCCTTCCTCTTCTTTTTCAAGAAAAGGGACTTAAACCATTTTACCATAAAATTCTCCTCCTGAATTCCTTTCTGGGCTTGGTCATTGTTCTACTGTCTGCTCCTGTATTGTGGGAACAGTGTAGAAGACTTGCCTTGTCCCCAGATTTCTGGGCGTGCAGTCATTTGCCATATGGGAATATGACTCTTTATACTTCACTGTTGCTGTGGTGTCGAGTGCTTAACCTTTTTGCTCGGATTAAATTGGGTTGCTCCTAGTTTTCTTACTTTATAAACGGTGCTGCCAATGACCATCTATGTAGTCCATATGTTTTCCTTAGCAGTTGTTCTATGTACCATATTCCCCCAATGAGGTTGCTGGGGTTAGGCATACAAACGGATTTGTAATACTTGTTGCCCATTTTGAGAAAGACCAAACCCAATTAATATTGCCACCCCTTAAGTCCAAATGTACTCTTTTGCACAAAGCTCCCGTCCTGTCTGATTTAAGTCATTTATTTAGATTTTTCTGCCTTACTAGGGATCCAAAATTAAATGAATTTGAATTCAATTACTTTTCTTTTGAGAAAGGGTCTTGCTCTTTTGCCTGAGTTAAGGTGTGGTGGTGTCATTATAGCTCACTGTAACCTCAAACTCCTGGGCTCCAGCAAACCTCCTGCCTCAGCCTCTCGAGTATCTGGTACTACAGGTGTGCACCACCACACCCAGCTAATTTTTCTATTTTACATGGTTATAGGGTCTTGCCATGTTGCTTAGGCTGGTCTCAAACTTCTGGCCTCAATTAGAAAGATCCTTCCACCAGGGGTGGCACCTGTGGCTCAATGAGTGAGGCACCAACCCCATATACTGAGGGTGGCAAGTTCAAACCCGGCTCCCACCCAACCTGCAAGAAAAAATCGCTGGGCATTGTGGTGGGCACCTGTAGGCCCAGCTACTCAGGAGGCTGAGGCAAGAGAATCACCTGAGCCCAGGAGTTGGAGGTTGCCATGGCACTGTACAGAGGGCAAGAGAGTGTCTCTACAAAAAAAAAAAAAGGAAAGAAAGATCCTTCCACTTGGCTTCCCAAAGTACTTAGATTACAGGAATAAAGGCATAAACCTAATTTTAAAAATTCTTATCTTTTTATAACAGGATAAAATGCTTGCAATAAAAATTTGCAAATTAAATGAGGAAAAACTTCATTATTGCCTGAATCAACAATACTTAAAAATACATATAATACACGATTAGAAAGCTAGTTTCTACCTTTTTATATAATAAAATCAACATAATGACTTTCTGTCTGGAAAAGTGTTGAAAGAACAAAGATCTATTTTCTATTCTATTCTCATCTTCCCTCATTTTTCTTAATCGTCTTCCTAAAGTGTCAGAAATTTTATATCTCTCAACGCTGTTCACTGACTTGCACAAAATGTCTCAAGACAAGCCTAAAAATAAGTGCAAAATGACCCTTAAATAATTTCCTTTCAAGTGACAGAGAAGGGCCCTTGAATTTTGTTGCCCCAGAAAGAGAAGGTAGATTATGTTCTTGACCAAAAGTGGCTATGCTGGAAAGTGCCCTGCTCTGAACACAGCTTGCTCAGAGTTCTAGAGGAGTCTTTGGGGCTGTCTTGAGTCTTATTAACTGCATTGCCACAATGCTTAGTCAGAAAAGTACAGGGACATTAGCAAATTTTCTTCAAATAAGCCTTTTTAGGGTCCAAGGACCTCAGTGGGGTCACAGCTGTTATCTCCATTAATTTTATAGGATGAAGCAACACATTTCCATAACATCATTGTTAAAAATCAATTCTTGACATTGTTTGTGTTGATTATAAGAATTTGAAGAAACATATCATGAAGTCCCCCAATCTAGGTGTACTTGAGGGTGTTCAATCCATTCAGGAACCCCCAACGTGTAGCTAAGTATAAGGCCATGGAATCTTTGGAATCATATCAACATTTTTTCAGAGAGGGGACTGCATTATGGGTGGGGTCTTACCACCTGTTCAGCAGCCCAAACCCACTGGGTGAGCAGTTTGCCATACTCCATGTATTTCATGTGTATTTTGTTTATATCTAAAGAGAAAAAAACCATCTCTGTAGTGGGTGCTGTTGTTAGCCATCTGCTGCCACTTTGCATGTGGGCAAAGCAAGGTCCACGGAGCTACCTAACTCATCTAAGGAGACCATCCGCTAAGGGGACAAGTGTGGCTCTGCAGTCGGCTCCCTCCCTTCCCCACTGGTGTGTTGACCACTCTGTAGTGCAGTGAGACAAGGCTGTCAGCAGGCAGGACCCACCGGTGCTTCCTTCCTAGTGAGCCCCACGGGACCCCCAAGTGCTGATCACCTGAGATGGTGCCAGCTCTGGAGAAAAACAGAAAAAAAGGAGGAGGAAGGTTAAGGGTCGGGAGAGGGGAGATCAGATCTCCATGACACCGAGGCTGCAAAAGCGAGTCTACCACGGTTGGTCTCTCCCCTGGACCCTCTGGCCCGTGTTCTTTTTCCATCCCAAGGGTGAAATCCATGCTTTCTACCAATGAGACAGAAGAGTATGAGCTCACATTGACCAAAGGAGCCTGCCGCAGTGGGGATGTTCTTTGAAGCCTCGTATTTGGAGATCAAACAAATTTTACAGCCTACTCCATGATCTGTTTGCTTTTACTTCTAAGTAAACTGCCATGGTTCTCTGATTCCAACATGTGATCCTTTAGAAGAGTTTCTATTGATTTCATATCGACATTTTTTTTTTTTTGGAAGTGGGGACAACATTAAGACACATTCCCTTTTCAGAAATGTTAAAATGGGGAGAATATATATCTTTTTAGAATTGAAGAAATTCAGTAAAACTTCTAGTTGGAAAAGGTGTCATGTTTCTGTAGGGGCCGGGCCTGTCATCTGGTACCTCTTTGGGCACATGTAGGGGAGAACAGAGCCTCAGTGTGTGCTGCCCAGTCTCCCAGTGACGGGTGGGAGGCGTAGGGGTGAGCAGTGTGGGGAATCAGCTAAGGCTGGCTCCTTCCGCCTCTTCTGACTTCTTTTAGGGCAGAGTTTTTTGACCTTGGCGCTATTGGCATTTGAGGCAGATCATTCTTTGTCAGGCGGGATAATTAGCAGCCTCCCCGGCCGTGACCCATTACTAGTCACTTTTCCTTAGTTCTAATAAACAAAAATGTCTCCAGATGTCATGAAAGTGCTCCTGGTTGAGAACCCATGTTAGGGCTAAAGAGAAACAGCTGAAGAAGTGGAATCAATACAGATCTTTTGGCCTCAAGCTTTTCTTTTTACTCCAGAAAGTCTCTTGTCCCTGTGTGCCACCAATAGGACCCCCTTGTCATTTGGTAACAGATCTATGTTT